TTTGTTCTTGTAGTAACGGTCCATCTGCCTCCATTTTTCCTGCAGGTCTTTCTTTCAAGAGGTAGAATTACTCAGCCACAAAAAGGAATGAACTACTGATACAATTCAAAAAAAGCCAGACCTAAACACAAACATATACTGTAAAAGTCTATTTATATACAATTCTAGAGACTACAAACTAATCTACAACGACAGAGCAGCCTGATGACTGGTTGGAGAGAGGGAGTGGGGTGGGAGAGGTCTTACAAAAGGGCAGGAGGAAAACTGTGAGGGCCTATGTATCCTCACTGTGGTAATGGGTTCCTGAGTGTTTACATGTAACCTGCAGCTTTGGGTATTCCCCCAAACTGTAACATGACTGGTCTATGTGACCAACAGTCTTCAGCAGAAGGGCTGGGATGCCACTTCCTAGATGAGGTTATGAAGACAGGCCCATCTTGGATCATTTACTGTGGGGAATGCCGGCCGCCATATTGTACACAGTGCAGTAGAGGTAGAGATGGAGAGAAACTGAAGTCTCAGCCAGACACCAGCACAGAACCAAGGCCCACCAAGAACCCTGTGAATGAGCATGGAAGCCAATTCCAGCCTGGGCTGAGTCCTGCTGACTACAGCCCCAGTCCACAGCTTCACGACAACTTTGTGAGAGACTCCTGGTCATCAGCAGCTGTGACACAATAAATGTTTGTAGTTGCAACCTGCCAAGTGTTGGAGTGCTTTGTTACACAGCATAGATAATAGGATTATGTCAGTCACATTATATACTTGAAATATGTGCAATTTATGTCAATTGTTGTTGAGTGCCATCAAGTCATAGAGATGTTGTATAGGGTTTCCAAGGCCGTAAATCTTTATGGGCCCAGAAAGCCTCATCTTTCTCCTGCGGATTCGCTGGTGGTTTCGAACTGTTAATCTTGAAGTTAAGGAGCTCTGGTAGCGTAGTGGTTATGAATCGGGCTGTGAACCTTAAGGTCAGCAGTTCAAAACTACTAGCTGTTCTGCGGGAGAAAGATCAGGCTTTCTGCTCCCGTAAAGATTTACAGCCTCGGAAACCCTGTACAGGATCGCCATGAGTCAGAAGCGACTCCATGGCACAAAACACAACAACAATCTTGAGGTTAGCAGCCCAACCCATAACTACTATGCTACCAAAAGCTCCTTAAATTAAGCGTCAGTAAAACTTTTTAAAGAAAGTTGCCTCTGGGTTTCACAATAGGATTCAGGCATAAGAGAGTGTTGGAAAAAAGATGGTATGCCAGACAATTAAAGAAGTAAAAGGGGCGGGGCGATGCAGTGAAAACAACTGCAAAGGGAGTTTCAGGGACGACAGAAATATTCTACACTTTAATAGAGGAGGGGAGTGTACAATGTAAGTACACACTATGTTGTACACTTTATTTCATGAAAATTATATCTCAATAAGAAGTCTGGTTGTGGTGTTATAGGAGAAGCACTGGACAGCAAATTGCCAAGGTCGGTGGTTCAAATCCACCAGGCACTCCTTGAAAACTCTATATAGGGTCATTATAAATTGAGGATGGCTCAAAGGCACTTAACAACAACATATCTCAGTAAAGTTGGCATAAAAAATAAAAAAATATAAACTCTTGGTAAATTGAAATTTCTAATATGCTTCAAGAAAGAAATTCAAACTATAATCTGTCTACATAAATGGATAAATACAGGGAACCAGACAAAAAGTAATAATGAAAGTAGTTGATATAAGACATTCAGCTCTTGCAAGACTTTAGAATAAACCCTCTTTAAAATGTAGACCACATACAATAAGGACCACTCAACATTACTGGTTAGCAGCTATACTACTAATATGAGAAGGCTTTAAAAATTGCAGACCTCTTTCATTTTCTTTCCTTACTAAAATCCTTCTGTGGCAATTTACAGCTTCAGAATAAAGTCCCAAATAGTGGCTTCTATCAATTTTCATCAACAGAAAACCTACTCATTCTTGTGCCTTCTCCATACCACTTCCTAACACTAAGATTTAACTGTTACTTATTCACAAAGAGATTTAGTCTTTCCAACAAGGAACATATTACACAGTCATTCTGAAGCTGCCAAAAACCTTGAAAGGGGAGGTCTACCACACAGGATGGAGGAGGACTGATTATCACTGTGTAAACTGATAATAAGGAGAGGACAAGCAAAGTGTTAACAAAGCCAGACAAAGCCACACACAGAACAAAAGTATGAGAACTGAGGCTGACAGGAGCAGACACTATAAACAGAGGAACTACATCATGTGAGAAACGTTGTCTATACTGACAAATACTCAAGTAATCCAATCGGTACTCATTTTAGGGAGAGTGAGGTTTTCTTTATTCAATTTTGCCAACTCAGACGCCCTGCACGTACACAAGGACAGATGCGCCACATGGTCAACTGACCCAGAGTTTTATTAACCTAGCTCGGAAAAAGCCACGCCTCCATTTCCCCTTTCCTGGGTACTTTGGAGTTTACAATCTGATCTTTCCCAAATGGAGCCTACTAATTGCTACAGGGAACATTCTCATTTAAAGTTAGTTTCACCTCCTCCCCATCTCCCTTGATGGGTGTATTCCTATTTTAAAGTCCAGTGCTTCTGGTAGCATAGTGGTAACGAATTGGGCTGCGAATCGCAAAGTCAGCAGTTTGAAACTACCGGCCTTTCAGCGAAGGAGAAAGATGAGGCTTTCTGCTCCCATAAGGACTTACAGCCTCAGAAACCCTGTACAGGGTCACTATGAGTCAGAACCAACTCCAAGGCACAAAACCACCAGTAGGTCAAACTAGTCTCTTCCTCTTCTCAGAGTTCCCTTTTGTCATGCCAACTGCCACCCCCAAGATTTCCTTGATTCTGATGATGGATCACCCCAACAGCTATTTTGCACACATCAGTTCCCTATAATGTCCAATTTTTCATAGCTCTGTATTCTCACCCCTAAGTTACAGCGTCAACTTGAGCTAGTTTGAGAAACCCTTAACAGAACAATCATGTTGTTTGTTATTTGAGCCTCTTGCAATTCAAACTGGACCTTGCGGGTCCAGTGCTTTATCCTACAGAGCCACACCAGGACTCCAGAACAATTATATTACCTGATAATTACATCAGTAACCTGTGACCTTGGGCAAATTGTTTAAACTCTAAGCCTTAGTTTCCTCATCTATAAAATAAACATAATAATACCTCTACTTCTTAAGGGTGCAGGAAGAATTAGATAAAATAGAAGTATGTAAACTGTGCACATTGTCTGATACTCAAAAGTTTTCAATGTGTCAGCTACAGCTATCAAGGACTGTGTTGTTGTTAAGAGGCAGGAGGTGGCTCCTACTCAGTGACCAAGTACAGGGTTTCCGAGGGGTGGCTGGTGAATTTATACCGACCCTGAGGTCTAGTTCTTATTCTATGGCACCATTCCAGGACTCCAAAATAGGCTTATTAATTTCTCACATAATAAATACACGATACAAAGTCAGTTTTAATAAGAACAAAAAGGTACATTTTTATTCATATTTGAATAGTGAACTTATTGATTTTGACAGCTGTTAATGTTTTAAAAAGGAGCTCTGGTAGCGTAGTGGTTACGAATCGGGCTGTGAACTGCAAGGTCACCAGTTCGAAACTACCAGCTGTTCCGTGAGAGAAAGATGAGGCTTTCTGCTCCCGTAAAGATTCACAGCCTCGGAAACCTTGTATAGGGTCGCTATGGGTCGGAGCCGACTCCAGGGCATTTAACAACAGTAACGTTTTAAAATGCAATCTAATGAAATAAAGTGCAAAACAGTCTGCTCCTTCAAGAACATGAGAAGAGGAAATAATGTTCACCAGTACCTATTCATCTGTGCACAGAATGACAGGATAAGCAGGAACTGGCTGGTTACCTACCTGGGGTGGCTGGGAAATCTGAATGGGAGACGAGGTCGGGGGAGGAGACAAAAGCACTTCCAAGTATAGCTTCTAAGTAAGTATAAGGTCTTGACTTAAAATTATCTTTGTGATTTACATACAGACAGCTGTGACCAACAAGAAAGGGGACAGGGAGAGACACGCCCCCCAATCGAATACCAAAACCAGTGTTCCCAATTGCTTTACAAATGAGTAACACAACCACAGAGGAAGTGAAAGAAGTAAGACATTTTGCACAACTGATTTTCACTCGGCATAAGGTCCTTGAGATCTATCCCAGGTGTCCGACCTATCAATAAATGGCTCCTTCCGGCTCCGTGCAGAACCCACAGGGCGGATACACCCCGGCTTCACCCGCTCACACCTCCACGGCATCTCTTCTATGTTTGGATCAATTACAGATAAAGTTGCCAAGACAATGAGCGTAGATGTTTCGGAGAGGAAATAACGTTTTCGTATCTCCAGGATAAACATTCACGAAGAGCTACGTTCTTACACATCTCGCTTGTCGATCGCCTCTCCGTCGTAGGCCCCAGAGTAACGGCCGCGGTCCGACCTACCACGCAGCACCCAGTCTGCCGGAGCCTGGTCGGTCCGGGGAACCGAGGGGACGAGGAAGAGCCTGGAGGAAACGGACCGCGAAGGCACCGGGCCTCACCTGAGTCTGGAGCCGGGGCCGGAGACACGCGAGGCAGCGGGGCGGAGGCTTCACTCCTGCCCAGGCCCCGAGGCCGCTTCTCCAGCTGCCGCACTAGCCAACGCACCACGATCAGCAGCACTGAGGCGCCGAGAAGCTCCAAGGCCAGCGCCGTCCACTCAGCCGCCCCCAACCTCGGCCACAGCATCGCCGTCGCCCGAGCCGCCGCCGTCGCCGCCGCCAAGGAAGTCGGGGTCCTGCGTCCACCCTGCCCCGAGCCGGACTGCCCGCGCCGCTGCCTGACGAGAAAGCGCCACGCGTGTGTCCGGCGCGGTGCCAGGTCTGTCCGCGCGTGACGGGGCCTGTCCCTGTGTCTATGGAAGCCCGGAGCGGGCGAGCTTCCGCGGAACCGAATCCGGGCGGCGGAGGACGAACGAGTGCGGGCGGACGGCAGGCGGCGGGGGCAACCCCGGGCGGCCGCGCTGAGGTGGCGAGGCCGGAGGCAAACCCTCGGAGTTAGCCCCGCTGAGGACCCGGCCCTGGAAGCCCCACCCCGTACGTCGTTCCGCGCGGGCCCTGCTGCCGGCTCCCGCGTTCCTGCTGACAGCCGTGAGGGTACGCACAGGCGCCCGCCGAGGTCAACGTAGAGTGAGGGCGCTTTGTGGGACCCGTTCTTGGGTTTGGGTCCAGCCGTTCACTGCTTCCCGGGGCCGCTGGTGCCGGGAGAGGCGTCTACAGCCTTCGAGGCAGGGTGCAAGGAAGATGGGTGTAAACGGAGCCTGCGAGGGCCCCACACGAGTGTGGACTGCGGAGCCAACCCGTAGGAACGACAGGTCCCACGGGCAGGGAATCTGTGACCAGATCCCCATCTCTGAGGACAGTCGTGGCGGCGCCGTGTCCTGGCCACGTCGGCCCCCCAGGCAAGAGTGGAATCTTTTCAAGTGTTTCAGACCCGAACGTGTGTCTGCCTGCGGCGTGTGCTGGCGGGAAACGGCCCTGCGAACTCTGTGGCTGCCCTTGGCAGCCGCCGTCCCCACCTCCGGCGGATCTAGCAGAGCCCCTGTGCTTCCTCGGGGTAAACTCTCTCCGCTCCTGCGCGCTGTGGCCTGAGGGTGGCCTGCCGTGGAAGGGATGGTAGCGCGCCCTTTTCGCGCCCGGTACTGCGCGGAGCCCCATGCTCTGAACCCCGCTGCCGGGGCCGGGGCCGGGGCCGCCTCCCAGTCCGTGGTTGTGCTTCGCCCCATTATTGCAGCCATTGTGTCAATATCTTTTAGAGTCTTCATCTTCCTTCCTCAAAGCTTTACTGCATCCTCATTACTGGCTGTACTTTTGCGTGCTGGCCAACCTGAGAAGGAGCCGGGTGGCACTGTACGCGAAGCGTTTGGCTGCGAACCGCAAGGTTAGCAGTTCAAAGCCACCTGAAAAAGAATAGCCTGTCTGCTTTCCTAAAGATTTACCACCTCCAGACTCTATAACAGGGTCGCTGGGAGTTAAAATGATTGGATTGCGGTGGATTTGGATATTTTGGCTCCAGCCTAAGGAGCTCATCTGGCACAATGTCAGTGTACCACTGTTAGAACATGGTCACTGGCCTTTTTTTTTTTTTATGTAAATCACCAGATCTTTCTTTCTTAACCTGTCTTAGCCACGAAGCGTCATTGAAAATTGTCCGCTTTGGGTGACTCTGTTGGTATTTGAAAGTGAATACGCTCTGGTAGTGAGCGTAGTAGTTACAAATTGGGCTGTAAACCTCAAGGTCAGCAGTTCGAAACTACCAGCTGCTCCGCGGGAGAAAGTTGAGGCTTTCTACTCCTGTAAAGATATATACAGCCTCATAAATTTTTGTACTCCTGTACAGACATATAGAGCCTCAGAAACCTTCTTACTCCTGTACAGACATATGTTGTTGTTGTTGTTAAGTGCCATCGAGTCGGGTCCGACCCATAGCGACCCTGCACAGGGTTTCCGAGGGTGTAAATCTTTACGGGAGTAAAAAGCCTCATCTTTCTCCCGCGGAGCGACTGGTAGTTTCGAACCGCTGACCTTAAGGTTCGCAGCCCGATTCGTAACCACTACGCTACCAGAGACATATAGAGCCTCAGAAACCTTCCTACTCCTGTAAAGACATATATACAGCCTCAGAAACCTTCACAGGGTTGCTACAAGTGCTATGCAGATGATACAACCTTGCTTGCTGAAAGCCAAGAGGACTTAAAATCCTTACTGATGAAGATCAAAGACTACAGCTTTAGGTATGGGTTGCAACTCAGTGTAAAGAAAACAAAAATCCTCATCACAGGACCAGTAAATAGCATCCATATAAATGGAGAAAAGATTGAAGTTGTCAATGAATTCATTTTGCTTGGATCGACCATCAACATTCATGGAAGCAACAGTCAGGAAATTGCATTAGGCATTATCTGCACAAGACCTCTTTAAAGTGTTGAAGAACAAAGATGTCAGTTTGTGGACTAAGGTGCACCTGACCCAAGCCATGGTATTTTCAATAACCTCATATGCATGTGAAAGCTGGACAGTGAATAAGGAAGACCGTAGAAGTATTGATACATTGGAGGAGAATATTGAAAGTACTATGTGCTTTCAAGAACAAATAGATCTGTGTTGAAAGAAGTGCAGCCAGAGTGTTCCTTGGAGGCCAGGATGGCCAGACTTCATCTCTTATACTTTGGACATATTGTCAGGAGGGACCAGTCACTGGAGAAGGATACTGTGTTTGGTAAAGTGAACGGTTGGAGAAAAAAGGAAGACCCCAGCAAGATGGACTGGCACAGTGGCAGCATCAGTGGACTCAAGTGTAGCAATGATTGTAAGGTTGGCCCAGGACTGGGCAGTGTTTCTGTTGTAAACAGTGTCCCTATGAGTCAGTACTGACTTGGTGGCACCTAACAACGAGTTGGAAGTGACTCCACAGAACATAGCCACTACTGCCATCGGGTATAAAGAAAGTCTGTCAGAAGTAGAAGTGGGACGCTCATTATCACCAAAGAACAAGGAGTAGGGTGTATCCTTGGACCCAGAGACCTATGCACATTGATACCCAAGAACAGACAGCCAGGACTCAGGAGCAGTGGCAGAACCAAGCCAGAGCAGGAGGCATTGGTGGATTTCCCATCCATGGACCAGGAGGTAGTGCTGGACTTCCTGGTCCGTGAAGCTGAGTGGCTCTGGGCAGGATGCTTGCTTCACAGTGGGGTACCTTCAGGCACTTAATTGGGGGGTGCTAAGTTTGCTGACCCACAGAGCTAGAGCTGAGTGTCTTTAGACTGAGGTTAATGGTGGAGGAGTATGTTCTGTCGGCATTTATCAGCAGCCCCAAAAGAGCTTTGTTGCCACGACAGACCGAGGCCTGCCTGTAGAAGGTTGTGTAGAGGCTGTCCTGGCTGGAAGAATTGTGCCCTGGACATTTTTGGCCCTGAATTGTAACCTATTAACATCCCTAATAAACCCCATAACTGAGTATTGTCTTTGGAGTTCTGTGTGGCCATTACAATGAATTCTCGAACCCAGCCGAGCAGAGCGTGCTATGAGAGGGAGGGGTTGGGGCACGTTGTTTTGCATATTCCATTTTCTCCCTGACCGTTTCACTTTGAAAATGCAGAAGAGAAGTGAAGATTGGAGAAGCTGTCCTAGGCTACAAGATGGAAATTGGGGATTAAGCAGAGAAATAGAAGACCATTTCACTTTGAAAATGCAGAAGAGAACTGAAGATTGGAGAAGCTGTCCTAGGCTACAAGATGGAAATTGGGGATTAAGCAGAGAAATAGAAGGCATTGTTGTCCCCAGCACCATGAAGCTACCATGATTAGCCCTGTCTTATTCTGAGGTGGTTACATGAGAAACTTTTCTCATTTAAGCCATGGAATTTTGGAGTGTTTTTGCATCTTAATACCAGGATTTACTGTGGAATCGAGTGAACAGTAAAGGACCCAATTCTTGTCCTGTCCTTTTCACCACCATATCTACCCAGAATTAAGTAAAACTGGAATAATCTAGGGGAAAAATATCTCTAGTTTCCCAAAGTGGAAACAGAACTCTAGTAGGGACCCCTACCTCTGAAGCAGAAATGAGAGAATCAGACGTAAACAACTGTAAGTAGAAGCGGATTTACAGTGAATGCAAAGAAATTAAGCTTGGAAGAATTGATGATCTTTTTATCTTAGATCAACAGGTTTGGTATAATTCCTAATTGTAGTCTGTCTCCCTCCTAGCCCTTTACATCATCTCAGGTTGTGAGGTGGTCAGGGGCCAGTGAATCTCCACACGTGAGTGAGGAATTCTGTGTTCCATATGTGCGTATATAGGTATCCTGCAAAGGAACGAGGGTAAGATTAGGCTTATTAGGGGGATCACAAAAGTTTTGAGGAAGCAGTAGGTGAAGTTGAGGCCAGAAAGTGAGAGGCATTGATCTTGTTAAGGACTTTATTGTGAGACCAGTGGGTTTTACCAGGAGACTAAACAGGACCTGCTTTGTGTTATAAAAAGATGCCCCTGCTACAGCATGTGGAATGCATTGGAATTTCCTCAGGTAAACCGTGTGTGGATTTACATGAGTAATGTGATAGACATTAACAGACTGTCTTTGCCCCCCAGACCTGGCCAAGACTGCTAGTTGTGTGACATTGCCGCCTTCACACACAATTTCTTAACTTTATGGGGCACCTAAGAGTAGACTGCAGTGAAGATAGGAATGACTAAAGGTAAACAGCCCAGATTGTTTAACACATATGTTGTTAATTGAGAAGAGCTAAATTCCAGGTTTACAAATCTTTACAGTGTTAAGCTTTATACCCTACAAGGAGAATTTAGATGCATTTTAATTAACCCTCACAGTCAACTGAGGTATGTGGAATTAAGTGATTTAAAAAAAAATAAGTCCCCAACTCTTTGCTATCATGACTCCTATGACCACATAGGTCAGCGTAGAACTGCCCCATAGGGTTCCCAAGGCTGTAGATAGTTCCAGAAGACAAGAGTTCCATCTTCAGGGAGCTTACATGCACTTCTATAAATGGTGTTCTCCTGCACCTCACCTACAGACCTTGCTTTTCCTGATCAAGCCCTGGGTTACCCCCCACAGTGGTGGGAGCAGCCAAGCACAGTGTTGCTAAGGCTCCATTGACAAGTAGCAAGCGCTCAAATATCTGCCTAATCAGTGAGTTAAGTAAAGACACAGGCAGCACAGGGAGA